AAAATAAAGAAAATTGAAAAATGAAAAAGACCCTTTTCCTCTAACTCAGCATTCAAGGGTGATTTGGTCATAAAAATTGTTATTTATGCTGACATGGATACCTCTGTTAAGAAACATTAACGGTGTATTAACGGAATGTGGGTTTTGGAAAATAAAAACTTAATGACATGGTGAGTTTTAGACATTTTGAAAAGTTGTGGTGAGTTTAAGAGAAATGTGATAGTTTGAAGATGATAGTAACAGAAAAAAYAGTAAAATATATGATAGAAAAGAGAGAAAGAAACTTGGTAGTTTGAGAGAAAAAAAAATTTAGTAGATAGATTCTGTCGTTTCTCTCAGATATCACAAAGCAGTACAGGATGAGGTATTTATAATAGATAGAGTCGGTTGAAGGTGAACCAACTTACATTGGAAGAAGACTGACTGACATTAACTTACCTTGGGAGAAGAATCGACTAACATTGGAATTAACTCGCTTTGGAAGATGTAACGACTCACATTGGAAAGAAACTTGCATTGGAAGAGAACTCAACTTCACTGTTCTTCAAGAGAACTGATTTAATGCTTTTGAAAATGTGTAGCAACATTTAATACTCCTCCTTGGTGCATATTTCAACAACTCCAATCATGTCTCGTAACAATTCGAACTTGCCTTTTGGTAGTGCCTTTGTGAATATGTTCGCTAATTGTTCTTCAGTTTTGCAATGTCTGAGTTCTATTTCTTTGTTTCCTTCAGCTTCTCTGATAAAATGATACTTTATGCCAATATGTTTGGTTCTGTTGTGAAATATGGGATTCTTTGCCATTGCAATAGCTTATTTGCTATCGCAGTAGATTTCAGTAGCACCAACTTGTGGTTCTCCCATGTCATCAARTATCCTTTTGAGCCATATAGCTTGGCTCGTTGTTATTGCTGCTGCAATATATTCTGCTTCAGCTGATGATTGGGCGATTGTTGCTTGCTTCTTTGAAGCCCAAGAAAATATCCCTGATTCAATTGTGAAGGCATAACCAGATGTACTTTTCATGTCATCTACTGAACCTGCCCAATCACTGTCTGTGTAGCCAATGAGCTTAGAGTCATGTGTGACTCTGTACCAAATTCCATACTTATTTGTACCTTGCAAATACCTTAGTATTCTTTTAGCTACTCCATGGTGAACTTGACTTAGATTTTGCATAAATCTTGATAGCAAACTAACTGCATACATGATGTCTGGTCTTGTAGCAGTTAAATAGAGGAGACTTCTAACCATACTCTGAAATTGTGATTCATTTGCCTTTGGGGAGCCATCTTCCTTTTTGAATGCTTTAGTGTTGTCTAATGGGGTGGATACTGTTTTACACCCCTCCATTTTGAATTTCTTCAAAAGAGTTTCTGTATACTTCTTTTGTGAGATGAATGTCCCTTCTTCTTCTTGAGTTATTTCAATTCCAAGAAAGTAGTGCATTAGGCCCAAATCAATCATCTCAAAAGTCTTCATCATGTCTTCCTTAAACTTCTTGACCATCTTCTCATTATTTCCTGTATAAATGAGATCATCGACATATAGAGAAACAATAAAAGTGTCATTTGTACCTTGAGTCTTGATGTAGAGTGTTGGCTCACTATAGCTCCACCTGAATCCTTGCTCCAAGAAGTAATTGTCGATTCTGTTGTACCAAGCTCGTGGAGTTTGTTTTAAGCCATATAATGCCTTCTTTAATCTGAGAACTTTGTCTTCTTGTCCTTGCACCACGAACCCTTGAGACTGCTCCACATAGATTTCCTCCTTAAGATAACCATTAAGGAATGCTGATTTCACATATAGTTGAAAAGTTTTCCATTTTTTCTGTGCAGCTAGTGCTATCAATGCCCTGATTGTGTCAAGGCGAGCAACTGGAGCAAATGTCTCATTGTAGTTGATACCATATTGTTGTGAGTATCCTTTGGCCACTAACCTTGCTTTAAGTTTATGGATTGAGCCATCTGAGTTAAGTTTTGTCTTGTAGACCCACTTAACTCCAATAGTGTCTTTGTCTTGTGGATAATCCACAAGCTCCCAAATCTCATTTTTATCTCTTCATCCATAGCTTTTCTCCAATTTTCTTCCTTAACGGCTTCTTCAAAGCTTTCTGGTTCCATGATCATCAAGTTGCATGTTTCATATATTTCTGTTAACGATTTAGTTCGCCTTGGTGGTGAGTCCAGAGTAGACTGTGAAGCTTGTTCCGGTTCTGATTGTGTTGGAAAACTGGTTTGATCATAATCTTCTTCAATTCCTTGACTTGGTAATAGGGGCAAGTTGATAGACTTCCTTTCAACTTCTTTTGTCTCCCAATTGTATGCAGCATCCTCGTCGAAGCTTATGTCTCGACTAATTATGAGTTTTTCTTTTCTTAAGCTATAGACTCGATAACCTTTTGATTGAGTGCTATAGCCTAAGAAGATTCCTTTCTCAGTTTTCTCGTCCAGTTTGCCTCTTTTCTCTTGTGGGACGTGTGTGTAGCATATGCATCTAAAAACTCTGAGATGCTTTGCTGATGGCTTTTGCCCACTCCAAACTTCAATTGGTGTCCTATCTTGCACAGCTTTAGTTGGACATCTGTTGAGCAGATAGACAGTAGTGCTTACTGCCTCTGCCCAAAAACTTTTGGGAAGACCCTTTTCTATGAGCATGGCTCTTGCTGTCTCCATAACTGTTCTGTTTTTTCTTTCGGATACTCCATTTTGTTCTGGAGCATACCCAACTGTGAGTTGATGCTCCATGCCTTCATCTTCACAGAACTTGTTGAATTCATTAGAAGTGTATTCTTTGCCTCTATCACTTCTTATGGTCTTGATGTTGTGACCACTTTGCTTTTCGACACGGGTTTTGAATTTTTTAAAAATATAAAAAACCTGCTATTTTTCTCACAAGAAATAGACCCATGTCATTCTAGTATAATCATCAATGAAGAGAATAAAATACCTGTTTTGATTATTTGATGGAGTACGCATTGGACCACAAACATCTGTATGAATTAACTCTAGTGGCTCTTTGGCTCTCCAAGCCTTGCCGGATGGGAAGGGTTGTCGATGTTGTTTTCCGAGCATACACCCTTCACAAACGTTGTTGAACTCCTTGATAGCTGGTAGGTCACGCATCATGCTCTTCTGCTGAAGAATCTTTAATCCATGGAAATTAAAGTGTCCGAGTCTTCTATGCCATAGCCACGACTCGTCCACTTGTGCTTGCATTGCTATATAACTTGCATTTCTCCATTGTATGGGAAAGCATCTGTTTTCTGTCATTTTTGTTTTTGCAATTTCAAGGGACTTGTCTTACTTGTCATAGATTGTGCAAGAGTCTCTCTCAAAATGTAAAGAGTATCCTTTTTCCATCATTTGGCCCATACTGAGTAGATTTTGATCAATGTTGGGGACCAAAAGTACATCATTTATGTATTTCTTGTCTTGTTTGGTGTCAACAACAATGGTGTCTTTGTCGGTTGCTTCCATGAAGTCACCATTACCAATTTTGACTTTTGTCTTGATTTTATCAAGACTATGAAAGATGCTTTCATTTTTAGTCATGTGGTTACTGCACCCACTGTCAATGTACCAAGTATCCTTTTTTTCTTCTATTGCAGAATGACAAGCATAAAAGAGATTATTTTCCTCATTTTTCTTTTCTGAAAAATTAGCTTGATGGGTTTTCTTCAATCKACAAGCTTTTTCAACATGGCCGAATTTTTTACAATTTTGGCATTGTGGTTTTCCTTTAAACCAGCAATCTTTCTCCAAGTGATTTCTCTTCTTACAAATACCACATGAAGAATACTTGTCATTATTTTCTTTTGGTTTTCCTTGTGACTTCTCCCATCAACTTTTGGTTTATGATACCGCAGATTAATTTTAGACTGAAAGGCAGCCTCAACCGAATTTTCATTCTGCCTATCACGCCTATTTTCATGTCTCGAGAGAGTCCATTAATTTAGTTGGTGATAGTGTCTCTAGATCTTTTGTTTCTTCTATCACTGAAATTATTGCATCATATCTCTCTGTACAAGAAATTAGAATTTTTTCGACTATTTTCTTGTTAGAAATAATTTCCCCATAGGCTCTCATTTGGTTTACTATTTCTTTTATTCTAGAATAGTAATTCTTTGCAGTCTCATTATCCTTCATCTTAAGATTTTTAAAATCCCTTCTAAACTTCTGCAATTTAACAGTACGTACCTTGACAGTTCCTTGAAACTCCTCCTACAGTGTGTCCCATGCTTCTTTTGCAGTTGATGCGCCCATGATTCGAGGAAATATCTCCTCAGCCATTGCTTGCTGCAAGCAGAATAATGCTTGACAATCCTTTTGTTGATTCTCTTCATAGATCTTCTTTTGATTTGCTGAGAGAGAAGCAGTATATTTGGCAATGCAGAAACCTTCCTCAACAATTTTCTATAGATTTTGTGATCGAAAATAGGTCTTCATTTTGATGGACCAGAAGTCATAGTTTTCTCCATGGAAAATTGGAAGAAAAAGAGTAGAGTGATTGGCATCAGCACACATAATCGTTAGAAGAAATTATGCCCAAAAAATTGATCGAACAAAGCTCTGATACCACTGATAGTTTGAAGATGATAGTAACAAAAAAAATAGTAAAATATATGATAGAAAATAGAGAAAGGAACTTAGTAGTTTGAGATAAAAAAAAATTAGTAGATAGATTCTGTCATTTCTCTCAGATATCACAAAGCAGTACAGGAGGAGGTATTTATAATAGATAGAGTCGGTTGAAGGTGAACCAACTTACATTGGAAGAAGACTAGACTGATATTAACTTACCTTGGGAGAAGAATCGACTAACATTGGAATTAACTCACTTTGAAAGATGTAACGACTCACATTGGAAAGAAACTTGCATTGGAAGAGAACTAAACTTCACTGTTCTTCGAGAGAACTGATTTAATGCTTCTGAAAATGTGTAGCAGCATTTAATAAAATGCTGAAAACTCATGGTGAGTTTTAGACAATTTCCTCATTTTTTTTTGACGACATTCTTAAATTTTTAAGTCGTGCTTCTGTTCTCTTTGTATTAAGAATTTCAAACCTTTCTCCATCACAAGGAATATTAGAAACATTATAGGCATGAAAAGATTTTAATTAACCCTTAACGTGGCAAAACATGAGAAATGGTCTCCACATCTACAGAACAATTGACAGATGAAGATTGATTTGCTTTAACAACAATTCTTCCCAAAGCAAATGCAGGTTTTGTAGGTTGAGGGAGAGCTAAAGACTCATTTCCCAACATCACAACAACAGTTGACATGGTGGGTCTGTCAGCTGCATCTTGTTGAACACACAGAAGCCCAATCTGGATGCATCTCAACACCTCTGTTGTCGAGCAATTGTCTACCAACAGTGGGTCTACAAATTCCAAACATTTGCCTTCAACCCACAGTCCCCATGCCTGAAATTTACAGTTTATTGGATTGATACGTTAGAATTCGATATGGAATGTATACATGACTCTTAACTAACAATGAAAGTAGAGTTCTAATGCGAGTAGGTGCAAATTAACTTACATAAGCAAGAAAGCTCTGTGCGTGCTTGGTGAGGCAGAAGCCACTGTTTCTCTTCCCACTTATGATCTCAAGCAAGATAACACCAAAGCTAAAAACATCAGATTTCACAGAAAATAACCCCTCCATTGCATACTCTGGAGCCATGTATCCACTGTTCATTATTAGTTATTGACATTAGAAACCAAATTGTCAACTGAATTTATGGTGAAAAAAAAAACACTAGAAAATCTGGGTTGCCTACTAGCTGTTTGTATGATGCATCTTCTGCTTTGCTAAGCGTGTCTACTGGGTTAGGATTATGTAAAAAAGTCACAAAAAAAGAAAGATCTAGTAATAACAGTTAACAGAGGAATCGAGGAAGGAGCAAACATACAATGTCCCAACAACTCTTCTGGTATTAGCTGCATTTTGATTTTCACAGAAAATCCTTGCCATGCCAAAGTCTGAGATTTTTGCAGTCATATCACTGTCCAACAATACATTACTGGGTTTCAGATCCCTGTGAATGATTTTAAGCCGAGAGTCCTCATGAAGGTAAAGCAGGCCTCGAGCAATCCCACAAATGATATCAAAGCGTGTTCTCCAGTCAAGCTGTGCACGTCGTATTGGATCTGAAAGCGAACGCAGTTGAAATTGTTTTCAATGAGGACAACAATTAATAAATTAAATATGCAAATTCATTTCTTAATTCTTGTATGATTCTAATTGATTGGTGAAAAGCAATTAAAGAAACGATCATATATACCAAAGATAAAGACATCGAGGCTAGTATTAGGCATGAACTCGTATACGAGTAATTTTTCTTCTCCTTCGATGCCGCAACCCAAAAGCCTAACGAGATTCCTGTGTTGAAGCTTTGCTATTAGTATAACCTCATTCTTGAACTCTTCTAGACCTTGCCATGATTTTCTTGAAAGCCTTTTAACTGCTATTTCCCTTCCATTTGATAGCATACCCTGATCAAAAAATAATCTTTCAAACATTTCTCAACAGCAGAATGAAAAGAAAAGAAATATAAGGGACCAAGAACATTTCAATGTCAACCACTTCTATTGCTTGGAAAAGCTTTGTTACCTTGTAAACAGTGCCAAACCCACCTTGTCCTAGCTTATTTGAATCTGCAAAATCGTCTGTAGCTGCTTTTATAGCTTCAAAATCCATCAAGGGCAACTCTGAAGTATCCATTTGGTTTCCACCCTGTATATTGCTTTCTGGGAAACCGATGCTGATTGGAGTACTCTCTAAATTTTGTCGTAACGGTGCAAGTTGAATTTTGACTTCATCTACAAAATGAATGAGAGGTTGATTTTTCTATTAATTTTGAACTGCTCTTGAAATCTTAAAATCTTACCTACTTCTCTTCCCTTCCTCCTCCGAAGGCAATGTGCACCGCAAATGCAGAGGGCTATTAATACAACTACTAGTACAGTACTGACAAATATTACAATCATCCATGTCTTCCTTCCACTACCTGCTTTCAACAAATTTATGCAGATCGATCAATTGATACATATATACTTCAACAATTGGCTAAATATTCAACTTTTTAATTGTAAAAGAAAAATGAAATATTGTTGTTAGAATTCAGGCTGTCAGATTAACTTAAACCATTGGATTAGGAGTTTCAGACAAATTAAAGGGATAGCAGCATGATGTCTTTTTTATTTTTTATTTTTTTTTCATTGATCTTGACTATCTCCCATTGGCTCTAACTTTTATCACTCCTACACAGAAACCAAGACAAATATATAGTATAGAAGAAGGTTTGGCACTTAGTTCACAATAAATGAGCAATATATTAAAATATAATATTTAATTATGTATCTTATATAATGAATTATGATGGGACGGTGTAAAGGCTATACAACTAAATTTTTATGCAAAAATGAAACCATGATTTTATTCTCCTAAAATGAAATCTTAAAATGGTGGTTCAGTTGGAGATTGGCTTCAGTGCTTAAGACTGTTTATATTGTTTCGCACAGCTTTTTACAATTGTACATAAGAATATTTTTATATTTGTATTTTTTTTTAATAGGGAGATATTTCTAATATAAAGTTGCAAGGGACTTTGCGAAGGGTATGAACAAAGTCTTGTGAGGATCAAATCCTTTGATTGTTCTTTTGGAGAAAAAAATATATAGGAGATCCAAATTTTATATTGTAAAGAAAAAAATGCTGACCTTTAAGAAAATAGTGAGGACCCACCAAAAGAGTATTAGAATAATAGAATGTCCTATCCATACATCACTACAGTGGCACATTGAGAGTATTTTCCATATTTACTCTGTTGTCATTTACATAAAGATATTCTCCATGTTAAGCTGTTAAGCTGTAGCATCATCATGTGGTAGGCGTGGGTATTATGTGGGTAGGAGAGTTTGCATAAATGCTTTTTTCATAAATATAAAAATAAAAAACTCGTGAAATTATTCCTATAAATATAAACATGATGGGAGCAATAAAAAGCGTAGGTTTGGATGAGATGGGCATAAAGTTGTAATCACATTCAATGAGTACTTAAAAGTTTTTTTGTCACCTGTCCCTTAAAATACCCTCACCTCATCCTTGAAGAAGATTAATACTCACTTTTGACAGTTATTAAAATATTTATCAAGTATTCATTTAACTGTTTACTTTGATGTACTTACTATATGTGGTCCCGTGGAACGCAGGTGTATGGGTCAAGTCAACACTGGAGGATGACAACGATGACTTAACAACAGCAAGACTGTGTTTGGTTTGACAGAAAAGAAGAGAGAGAAAAAGTTGAGGAAAACTGGCCGTCTAAATGAGTCATTAGAATGCTTTGTAACCCTGTAATAGTGTCTCTGCTTTTGGTCTAGGAACGTACTGAGGTCTTAGCAGAGAAGGACATCATTGATAGTGATGTCGGGCTGGAGACGCGAGATGCATGTTAGTTGGTAGTAACCTTTGAAGGGCATTATTGGCATTTTACATTCTTCATTTATTTAAAATAACAAAAAAATTATAGGGAAAATCTATGATATGAAAAAAGTTTTGACCAATCAAAACTCACCTATAAATTTTGATAAATGACACCTCATTCATTTATCACGTTTATTACCGTTTTTCTGAAAAATAACATTAATTTAGTGCAATATAGGCTTTTTTTTTTAAATAAAGTTCGTAAAGCTGTTGGATTAGACCATTTATAAAAAAAGTTTTGCTTCAATTTGTATTATCAAAAAATATAGGGAAGGTTTAAGCAATTTATACAAAAGATAAAAAATATATATATGCACACATGAAATTGGAGTTTCATTTGATCTTAAATCCCTATTAATAGAATCTATTCCTCATAAATCACTCCAAATCACATTACACCGCATATTGAGAATATCCCCATAAATAATGACAACACAACCATGGGAGATGTTTTGATGTGCAGCTGAAGCATGCTGCGACGTTGGTGTTTATTGCAATCAGTTAGAGACCCGAAAATGTCCCACAGCACATCCCCACAGTGTCTCATCATCTCCTGTACTTATTACCGATGGATTTCCCAATACAAGGTGGGGGATGTAATGTGGGGCATAGTGGGGCGCAGATGTGAACTCCAGGTAAGCCTTCACACTAGTTTTTTTTAACTTTTTTTTAGTATTAGCTTTTTGAACCTTTGAGGCACTAAAGAAACCACTTTAGATTACAGCCACTAAAAAAATACCCCTTTAGCTAAAGACACACATAGCATGTTCCATGCTTATATACAGATTGGATTGGATTAAAAAATCAATTTTATGTTCCACGGAGTCACGGACGAACGGGATCATGTGGAGCACTGAGACTCAGAGAGAGAGAAAGAGAGAGAGAGAGAGAATTGAATACAAAAACGGAGCATACACGCACACAGAAGAGCGGTCGGACTAAAACACGAGACGGAGCTCCTATTCTGCCTCGTAGAAACGAAAACAGAGCACCTGTTTCCCTCTTGCAACAAAAACAGAGTGCACAAAATGAATAGATTTCGGTTCTGCATACACAGAAACAGAGCAAAATACAGACGTAGACAATGAAGAGACGGCCGTCTTGCATACCCACTCGAACGCAGTTGAGTTTGGACATAATCAGAGATGTGAAAGGGTCGTAAATCAGGCCTAGTCCTGGGTTCACAGGTTAGGGATGAACAGATTCTGTTTTCACTCTTAAACCAGGCCATGCCATAAGAACGTTTACTTCATTTCTTGAATAATAAGATTCCCCAGAGACTTATGGGGGAACGAATCGGATGTACAACACTGGATCTGGTTTCTGCTAACCTTAATATCCCAACCTATACTCGCTGAATTCTAAGAGACGACAACACAATCAAACATCTTCCAAGTTGGTCAAAACTCAAAACAACCCCCTTATCAATAAATTTTTCGAATTAGAAAAGAATAAAATAAATAGACTAGCCGGATTTTGAAGAACAAATTCACTTTTGTGCTCAGATTTGGAGTAAATTGGAATCAATGGATGTATTAAAGAGGGCATCCAAGATCTGAAGTACTTACCTTTGGAAGTCGAAGAAGCACTTGAGCCATTATAGAAGGGGGATGATTCGTACCTCAAATTACAACTCGTGTCGAGAATCATTCCCCCACTACGAGAAGAGCAGCATCCTTGAATATCTCCCATTTCGTATGTCAGGCAATTCTTACATTCACTCCTATCTATGTCCCTTGTACACTGCACCAGACCATATATCTTCTCAGTTTCTGAAACGCTGGCATCACCCGTCGCGAACATAGGCTTAGATGTATTATCATATGCCGCCTGGTTAATGAGTTTCCTCATCAAGTTAGTCAAGATAGTAGAATATTGGTCTGGGTCTGTGGAATTCTGCTGTTGCTCGTTCCATGGTGGAAACTTTCCGGCGTACACCATCGAAGAGAAGAACATCGAGGAGGAGTAACGCAGCTGGCAGTACTGGTACCATACAATTGCTTCTTGCTTGTTTGGGCATTCTCGTAGGATTTCTTGACTTGCAGTCTGGACGCAACTCTGACAAACATCAGCGGCGACATCGCCTCTGCAGAGTGCAAGCCCGTAGACTTGGTCGGAGTTAGAACCCACAGATGTGTTATAGAACCCAGCTGAGGCAGAAGTGTTGGAAGATAGAGAGAGGAGAAGAAGTTTGAGGTTAGATTCGAACGTGCTATTCGAAACATAGTCACTGGTAGTACTGCTATTGCAAAATGAATAGAGAAACTGTGCTCTGCTGGGACTACAGAGCAAGATGGTAAACACAAGGAAGATGATCATGGTTGAAGGTGCATATCCCTTTTTTCTGAACTTCGGAGCGAGATCTATTCCAGGTTTACCAGAAAAAACCACATTTACAAATGACTTTAGGCATGATCAGATGCTTATGTGACTTGAGTTCCATCAGTCTGAACCCTGAAAAGTTGTTTATCCTTTTTTTAACTTTTTTTCTTTGCTTTGTCTGGCTGAGGAATAAAATATTGTAAATACCAATTTGAATTTTGACTTTATCATCTGGAATGGGTCCTTTCGACCGGCAGGGCAACCGACCCGAACCGCGGCTTTGAGTCGCGGGACTCATGGACTGGACTGGAGTTCTAACAAGTAATAAGATACAAGGACCCAATTGAAGGACCAAAAAACAAAGGACCCAATTAGAAGTTTCCATGGCCTGTGAGTTCTAGGGCTGTCATCGGTCTACCCGACAGAATCAAACCGATCGAACCATATAAACGAAGAATAGACATATAGTAGTAGCTTCTAATCGGACAATAAAGAAATAAAGAAGAATTGAATTGTTTTCACGAAAAAATAAGGTTGATCAACTTGAAATTTGAAATATAATCATATTTTTTTTTAGAGAAGTAAGGACAGGCCCGATACAGATTTGTAATTTTCATTATAGAACTATAGATATTCAAAATATCAGAAACCCCCATTTTATACATCAATACCCGGCCATGAATTGACATCAATTCTAAGTTAATAATCACCTCAAACATACTTTGAGCCTAAAAATTTTAACTCTGGGCTGAACCATAGTTTTGCCTTTCATGGTTTATATCCAAATCGTGGTCAAAAGTGGCATTATAGCGACAAAAATAAAAAAAAATAAAAACAAAAAAGCAGTATTCTATCTTCTTTTCCTGTCAGAAGCGAAAAAAAAAAACTTCTTTTTCATTGTCTGTGTAAAGACTAAAGAGAAGAATTTATTGATAAAGGAAACAAAAGGCCATTACGGTGGGTCGGTGGCTACAGGCATCATAGTTAATTTGGGCAAACGCCCCAATTAGGAGTGTTTTATAAATTCTAAATTCTATCCGATGGCCTTTCAACACGTACCTTCCCCAAAACTGGTTGTAAGTTGGATTTTTATAATCCAATTCCTCCCTATTCTTAACCTGGGTCGGTCAGGTGGTTGGCGAGTTGGGTCTAAAATTTTTATCTAATTTTTATTTTTTTTATTATATATAAGCATAAATAAGTAAAATATCATAATCAAACATAAAAATTCGGATTAATTAATTAAGATTATATAGAAAATATATAAACTACCAATTGTCCTTTACATAAAATCCAAAATTTTATTAAATTCAACACTTAACATACACAAGTTCATATGCCTTCCAATAATATACAGATCGGGGGGAGTCAAGTTTAACCTATTACCATACTCAACCATGCTCATACATAAAATCCCAAAACCCATCCCTACTCTAAAATCTATTTTTAAACCTAAAAGGAAAAAAGAAAAGACCACCGAGATGAATTCTCATCAGATAGGAAATCTAGAAGGAGAGATGGGCTTGGACCATCCAAGTTCGTCCGTATTATATTAGTGCAAAAATATGGAGTCGGAATGAGTTGTACGCAAATTTTGGTTTATTTTGTGTTTCAAACTTCATATTGTTTATTTTCAGTATAATGAAACTTAAATTACACTCCTTTGATTTATAGTCCTATGCATTCGTAATCGTAGGGTCGAGTGCAAATGAAACTACATGACAATCAAACATCTCCAAATGGTTTGATGAATGTGGGTTCTTTTTGGTGCAGATGGTCCACAGGTTCCAGGCTATCTGGTGCGTTGGGACTTGGGACGGGTTTGGAAGGGTAGATGGGATCATCCCATGTTTGACACATTAATGTAGTTGGCAATAATGTGGCCGCTCATAATTTAGTGATATATGCAGTTTGGAATTAATAAAATTATAACATAATGAATGTTAAAGAAATTAATAAATAATAATTTCATTGAGGATTGAAACTTGAACTTGATCCTACCAGGTGACAATTTATATTACAAATATAAATATTTTTAGCTTATCCAGAAAAAATATATAAATTTTTTATAGGCAAATATGTAAATATTTGTGGCCAGTTAGTATCATTAGGTTTGAAAATCGAGAGGTAATGTTCTATACTTCCATTCCAAAGACAAGAAACACCTTTTTTTTTTAATTGATAGTTGTTAACATTCAATACTAATTTCTGCCTTTCTGGAGCAGCAAAGGTATTTCGACTCAGAATTAGTCAATATTATTCAATACTAATTTCTTCCACCTCTTTTTGCTGAGCTTGAGTTTATGTAGACTCATTTCAACTGCTTAACTTTAATTAATTCTCTTAAACTCTTTTACTTAGGATGCTACGACTTCTTTAATCTGAACTTTAGATAAGACCTTTTTCTAAGCATAGAAATATTATGAAATTCTTTATTCCATCTAAGGTTTCCTTCTATTGGGTGGCCCCCTTCTATACCCAATCTGAGCTTTAGATAGTATTTGTTTTAGCGTCATAGAAATATTATGAAATACTTTATTCCATCTAAGGTTTCCCTCTATTGGGTGGCTCTTCTATTACCCAATCTGGGCCAACCAGCCTTAGGCTATCTCTTATTTTCTATCCAACAGCTCAATTTCCTTGATAAGTCCAACCACGTAAGGCTGTAAATTTTTGTCAACTAGTTCTTCGAAATTTCATGGAAGAAGGGTCCAAAATAGCCAAAATTTTCTGAAATTTAGGCCGTCTCATCTGAAATTCTGTTTTAGGTTTAATTAGCTAGGCACTCTAAAGTCTGAAGTTTGATTTCAATCAACGCAACAGTGGTTTTTCCAGTTTTCCAAGTTATTGAATTAGTTGTTTACGGAGGGAAAGTCAACACTCAACAATTCTTCCTAACCCGGGTAGTCCAGTACATAGCAAGAATACAAGTGGGATGTTGTGGGCTGTATCTAGCAATTAAGAGTACAATATTACAATGGATATGTATCATCTTGCTTACTTCATACATTTCTATTATTACTTAATTCTTTTATGTTGTTTAATTTTTAATTTCTTTTACATGGTAGGCTTGATGCTATGAAATTTAAAATTGACATCAGATGTGAATATCATAACAAAATTAGACATTAATGATTTCATTGAAGATTTTGGATGCGACATATGACCATCACGAGCAGGGGTGGAACTAGGGGGACCCCTATGGTTTGAAAAAAATAATAAACTGTAATATACCTTTGTTGTATGCGAAACTGGATGTCTAATGAGATATGGGACCGTATGGGATTTGGTTTTGGTAAATATATTTATATTATATTATATTATAAGTTTATTAGTTATATAATATATTTTGTATACTGATTATCGAGAGTAAAATAGTGGAACTCTTTTGGTTTTTGAATCTCTTCCATTTTCTAAAGTTTTTTATACAATTGATCAATTAGAGGAATTTAAAAATAATTTTATTTTAACTTTTCTAATTTTTTATTGCTATTTTGTCATTTGTGTGCAAATTGAAATTGTTTTTTTTCTTTTTTGTTTTATTTATGGTTGTCTTTTTTCATTATTTTTCCTTTACATGATCACCAGGAGGAGAATGAATGGGAGGAGAGGGGTTCGAAATAGGTAAGGGTTTTCATGAATCCCCTGCCCATTGCCCAGTTCACCCACCTAGTGCACTATGCACCTGTCCCTGCCTTGTTGCTTAGTGTCAACCTGCCCCAGCACTCTACTAGGGGTGATAATTTCAGTCTAACCTGCATAAGCCTAGTCTGAAAGTTTCAGGCTTGGGCCTAGGGTTTGTGTTCAGGCCCAACCCCAGCATAAGCCTGCATACCATAAACTTCATGGTCGGCCCTAGGCCTAATACTTCTAATCCGGCTCCAGCACATACATATTTAAATATATGCATTTTATATATAATGTAGACATGTGTATATATGTTATTTTATAATATTCATATATTATATTTTTTATATATAAATATTATAATATGACACTTATAATATGTATTATATAATATATAGAAATTTATATGTATATTGTATATTATTTAATATAAATTATTATATATATGTATTATTTTATATAAAAGAAATAGGCCTGAAACCCAGGTATGTAATATTTTATTGCATACCATAAAATAAACCATTGACCTGTTGACCCATTCATGTTTTTTGGGCATTTTTTATTTTTTTATTGGGAACCATCCAGGCAACCGATTCTGTTTTATCCTAATCTCGGTTTCTAGCCAAAAATTGTTGAATCGATCAATGACCTATTGACCCAAGCGATCGAACCGTTGACCCATTCAATGATTTTTTGTCATTTTTTTATTTTTTAATTTTTGTTGTCAGAACAGGCCATCCGTTCAAACCGAATAGTCGAACTATCGACCCGAAAACTGGTAGCCAGAATGGTTCCGTCTTCAAGTCATATGAGTCCGCTCGAATGACATAACATGTATGGTACTACTTAATAGACCTCAGACACTCAATTTTTTGTTTGTAATTTTTTTTGGCAGAACGGGTCATTCGTTTTTTTTTTTTAATTGGGTACTGATCTCGACTATGAGAGGGTGAAGTGGAGAGCGATCTGACTACTCCTAGATGGAGGGCAATCTGGTTTCCAATCGAGCAGTGAGCTGGATCAATTTGCAAGACAGTGGATCAGAGAACCCGGGGTGGCTAACCCGGGGAGGTCGCTCCGATGCTTAAGTTAGCATACTATAATGCGAGTTGAATGCTTGAAAGTTTGAGAGCTTGAGAGCTAGAGAGTAGAGTAATCACGCATACTTTTGCCTTGAGGTTCCCGTCTTTATATACTGGAGTAATCATGAGTCTCACGAAAGAGCTCTAGGATCCTTGGCGTGTTGAGATAGGGTTCGTTCTACTTCCGAATGAGTAGTACGTAGATGAGGCTTATCGTTTCACTTTTGACTCTGACGGAGCTGGGATGAGTCCTCATCGTGATCTCGAGAAATTCGGGATTTGTTAGCTCATCATGATCTCAAGAGATTCGGGATCTATTGGAGATACCTCTAGAGTCGGTTACGTAGCGATTTAGGGCTCGAGCTGATACTTCAATTCTTCAATTCTGAACTGGATTGGATGCTGAGGTGCCCCGA